AGTTCCACAGACGAGTGCGAGACATGAAGCTATCAGAGTAGAAGAGACGGCTACATTTCGACAGTGAAAGGGTGAGAGCGAGATGCCAGCCTAGTAGAACGCTTAAATTCATGAAGTCTGGGAACCAGCGAAAGCAGCTCTACAGAGCAGTTACCATGAAAGTATTTGTAAAAAAAAAGACAGAGGGAGTGACAGCACGTCTGTGAGAGAGCGATTGCAGACGAGATACCAGATCAGGGACAATTACATTGCATATCTGTCTCTGGATCTTATCAAGAATCTTGAGACAGACATAAGGGTCTCCAGACCATATATGGCATCAATACTCCATGCAAAGGCGAATGGTTGATTTGGAGATTTGAAGGATCGTCTCCAAGATCGACTCTTATTATATCTTAAAAGTTTCTTCGCTATTCTTTATAATAAAATAACATAAAAGCACTACTTAAATACAATGGTCCATCTGACATAAATAGAGAAAAAAGTTCAAAGAAGTAATTGTTGTAGAATAGAATTCATTTAAGGATGTTCCTGCTCATAATATCACTCCAGTGTATAATGAACACATAAAAATAATAAATGTAAACCTAAAATGAATCCATCTATCCATATTCTCATTGTTCACATCAGTATCAATTCGCGTTTGATTGGTTGTATTTCTGTAGGTTGATGAGTTTTTCGATGTGCCAACATTTCTTGGATTATTAAACATCGAAATTTGTTTTTAATTTATACTTGAGTTTATATGTAAACGTCCATAGTGGTAAATATTTGCCGGGTTTTCTACTCCAGTCGATAGGTAAATATTTGCTGGGTTTTTTACTACAATCGATAGGTAAATATTTGCCGCGTTTTGTACTCCAGTCGATAGGTAAATATTTGCCGGGTTTTGTACTCCAGTTCATAGTCAAATATTTGCCGGGTTTTGTACTCCAGTTCATAGTCAAATATTTGCCGGGTTTTGTACTCCAGTCTATAGGTAAATATTTGCCACGTTTTGTACTACAGCCTATAGGTAAATATTTGCCGGCTTTTGTACTCCAGGCGATAGATAAATATTTGCCGGGTCTATACTAGAGCAGCATTTCTCAACCGGGGTTCCCTGGAACCATAACTTTCCGCAAAATGTCGCCTAGGTTTCCGTAAGAGCAGGTGCAATAAGCTAATGCGCTTTTGACTCTTTAGTTAATTTCATATACGTATTCTCGTTAAAGACGCATATTATATTCTTGGTTATTATAATATTGTGATATAGACATCATCCTCTTTAACCTATTATGTTATCAACAATTTCTTTTGATTTGTTTTACGACATATCAACCTAAATGGGATATTCTCTGCCGATAAATTTTTATTGCTGGCAATATTTTGTTCCAAAAAGTATTTCTGGTAATATTTTTACCAAAAATGTTTTGCTGGCAATATTTTTTTCAAAAATGTATTGCTGGTAATAATTTTTCCTCAAAAATTTATTACTTGTAATATTTTTTTACAAAAATGTAAAACTGGTATTAAAACCTACTTTTACACTTTCATAGTGTTTTGATCCTATTTTGAGGATTAACTATTTGCTCATGTCTGGGACCCGAACAAGTGCTACCACCCGGGGTCAGGATTGACCTGGGAACACCAGCAGTTAAGAAGTGGTTCTACGCTCCTTAAAACCTCATGTCGGATGCAGTTTAATGTTTTACCCAGTACGCCGATGCAGTTTATCGTCTTACGCAGGACAGTAAGAAGGAGTGGATAATTCATTCCCTTTTCCCTTTCTTAAGGGATTTAAATCAGTCATTATCTGCCTCTAAAAAAGGAAAATAGATTCTTCATAAATCGCTTTGAGTGAAAACTATACCCCCAATCTACTTTGCTAAACAAAAAATGAGAGCGATAAAAGGTAATTTTTTTTCTATGCCAACGCAAATTAAGCACATATTTAATGCAGGTAGACTTAAATATACCGTGGAATGTCTCAAAAAATAAATGCTTTTTTTCAGGAAACTTTTTAGTATTATCTTATTTTGAAATTTCATGACGTATTTTTAAATATACCGGATAATATCTTAATAATATCCTTTTATTATTAATTTATTTTGAAATTTCATGAATTTTTCCTTATTAACCTATGCGTAAACATTACTCTTCTCTATGGGAAATTAACCACCATTCACTACCAACTGGGACACTTTTTCTTTCTTTCACCCGATCGTTTTCATGCTTATTATTTCCTTGTATAGTTTTGCCAGCTATCTCTGGCTATTTTAATACGAATTCTGATTTCTATGCCTCGTTTACTACTTCCAAACTTAATCCTGATGTCTCTAATTGCGAGCTCGCATTTTGAAATCTGCCACCTTCTGCTAATATAAATAAAATGGATATCACATTTGAATCAAGGAGAAAATAATAGCATAATCTAGGTGCTGATGCTCCGTAGTACCTCAAAACAAAAGGCAAGGAAGGAAGACCCTATTAATAAGAGAAAGTGAAATAATAATTAATG